CAAAATTGTTGATTTAGACCATAGTCAGAAATATTCCATCCAAGCTTGTTCTTTTTTTTTTCAAACTTGAACGGTAAATTGATATATAACCTAATGTATTTTTTGCTTTGCGAAGGAAAATATAATTGATCTAGTTAGTAACTGATAGTATTTAATACATGTGTAGGATCCATGTGATCCAAAATATAGAAAAGGAATGGAGATGGTATCAGGAAAGCAAGGTGATATATATTTGATATCTGCCCTGAGCAACGTATTCGTACATCCAACGGCCGTCTTTTTTACAGTCTCTTCACAGCAGACGCAGTTGTAGAGGAAAGCTGTTGGCTGCGAGCCTTAGCAGCCATTTGCAGCAGTTTGGCAGTGCGAGATGGGTGCCAGACACGGCTACCCAGGATAATAACCCAAGTGAGAAGGAATAAGCTACCAGCCTGGTGAGCAGAAGCAAGTGGGGTTGGCACAAGGTAGAGCAAAGTAGAGATACCCAGGCCGACCTGCATGAACGCGAAGCCGACGACACCGTGAACACCCTTACGGGCGGCGGGGGGCAGGATGCGTTTCATGGTGGGTGAGCGACGACTATAGGCCCACAAAGCCATGATGGTGGAGAATGTTGCCATGGCGAGAATACGGTGATCAAGCTGGACCAGAGAAGGGTTCTCAAGCATATTGCGCCACCAGAGGTCAGATCGATCCTCATGGCGAGAGTAGTGAGCGTCCCATAGTTCAGAGCTAGGCGGCGCGAGACCGTTGCCCATGTATGGGAACTCGTTATAGATGAGACCGGCATCTAGGCCTGCAACGAGACCTCCAGACATGACAGTAGTGAAAACCAGCAGAGCAAGACCCGCAACGGAGCGGCGGAAGATCGCCAACCGTGGGTCCCGAAGGGCCTCGAGCTGTTTCAAACCCGAAGCAGCATCGGCCATCAGACGGTTGGAACGAAGAATAGCGAGTCCATTCCACAGCATAGCAACATAGCAGACAAAAGCAGCACCCAGGTGAGCCGTCAGACGGTACTGGCTGACACGCGGGTGGCTACCCGGCGCAAACAGATCATCCTTGAGACCAGACTTGACCATCCACCAGCCGAGGAATCCTTGGAAGCCAATGAGACCGGCAATTCCAACCAGACGCCAGGCCATGGGAGCCGAGACCTTTTTCCGAGCAACAAAGTAGACCGCGGGGATAACGAAGGACATGCCGACGAATCTACCCCAGAGACGGTGGATCCATTCCATGTAGTAAATCGACTTGAAGTCGTCCAGGTTCATGTGCGAGTTCAGTTGCTTAAATTCAGGAGATGCTCGGTACTTGGCGAACTCGGCTTCCCAGTCTTCGGCGTTCATGGGTGGCATGGAGCCGGTGACAGGTCGCCATTCCGTGATACTCAATCTGCGAGTGATAACTCCGTCAGCATCCGAAGGTCCAGCTAATTCCTTCGTAAATGGGGAAATTATGGCCATACCCTGATTCCGTCAAACGTGTCAATCCACCAAAAACAACAATTCCAAAAACACTGGCCGCACTAGCAAGGAGGAAGTAGGCAACCGACTTGTCGCTGATCTTGGGGAAGCTTGACTTCGCCTTGGCAGCGGACTCCTCGACGACACCGGCCACCGCAGGCGCAGCCGCAGATCGTCTCAGACTGGAGGTGAAGAATTGGCGGTTCTTGTCGGAGAACAGGGGCGAACGGGTCTTGTTGGGTTGGAGGGATGGCATTGCGCCGAAGCGACGGATGGATTTGGCGGCATAGCCCTGGTTGCGCAGGCATTGGCGGCAGGTGAAAAGTTCTTTGGATGATAGTCGAGGCGCGAGGCTTCGCCATAATGACGCCGAAGTCCCTAGGGAAGCCATGGCGACGAAGTTGGAGGGAAACTTGCGAAGAGAAAGAAAAGAAAGTTGACATTCGGAAGTCGGAGATCATAAGATGCGCGGCCGAGCGCCAATCAGCGCGCGGCGATTTGCGGAGCACATTGCGTGAGTCTTGGCCGTTCACTCATACAGTGCCCTCCATCAAGATACATTACTAGTATTATACTACTTGGTATCTTACCCAGTTATATACTCAGTGCCCTGAATTGTTATAATCAAGCAATTGGTGCAGGTAGACTACCTTCAAGTAGTAGATACTATCTTGCCTAACTCTTGGTGCCTGAGGCAGAAACACATCCGCCGAAGCTCCCTGCAGCTCTCGCGCTTTCTTGGTCTGCATCCTCCATCCCTCCTCCCTTCTAAGACATCGCAATGTCCTACGCCGTCGAGTCAAAGAAACGAAAGTTCCACCGTGTTTTGGAATCCATTTCCAAGCCCGCGACTCCAGAAAATGCCCCGAAACCGTCAACCACCACAACCACCGCACCCGCAACAGCAAAAGACCGTCTACCCACCAACCTCTCCTCCATCAAGAAGGTCCGACTGAACAACAGCGACAAAACAGACCTGACCTCAGTACGCAGTTCCCTGTCCAATATATCCCGCTCCACAAATCATACATCGTCTATATCCTCAAGCAAACGCCCGACCTTCGCCCCATGGGATCGTGATATCTTCCTCGAGCGCCTCGAGACCTTTCGTCGCGTGGACAGATGGGCCAGCAAACCTACCCCGATCAATGAAGTACAATGGGCAAAGCGCGGCTGGGTATGCAAGGATACATCACGAGTGGGCTGTGTCAGCGGCTGTGGTGGCTCGGTGGTAGTGAAATTGCCAGACGAAATCGACGAGCTTGATGGATACGATGCGGATAAGGTTCAGGAGCGCAAGGAAGTTCGTAAGTGCATGCGCTTTTCCTTTCAATTCTTGACTACAGGATAAATTGGCTGATGGCACTTACCCGACTGGTAGGCGAGAAACTTGTTGAGGAATATGTAAAATTATTGAAGGATGGCCATAAGGAAAACTGCCTTTGGCGGAATAGGTCCTGCGACGGTATATTCATCTCTCTTTCAGTATTCTCGAATCATCTTTTTTCTGACTCTTTACAGATACCATTCAACACTTGCCGTTGAATAATACCGATACGGCTATATCTGGTCTCCATGCTCGATATTTGAACCTGGTGAATATGAAAGATAAATTACCAGCCGATGATAATATCCAAACACCGGATGGCTGTGATCTCGATGGAATAATCAAACTACTCCCAGAAGACTGGTTCAATAGTCCAGCCTCTTCGCAGGGGACCGTGAACGGACAAAACAGTACAGACGGCGACGCTCACGTCGACAACAATGATAATCAGGAATCAGCTCCAGCTCCATCAATCGCCAGACTACAATTGATCAACAAAGGAGCGCTAGCACTGTCTTTATTCGGCTGGGACTCTGTGGGCGACGGGGCTGCTGGTTTAGTCTCATGCAAGGCTTGCTTCCGTCGTCTAGGCCTCTGGATGTACAAACCCAAGGACAACGGAGATGTCACAGTCTATAGCTCCCTGGATGTGTCACAAGAGCACATGGAATACTGCCCATGGGTTGATCGGGTTGCCCAGAGCGGCACTGGCAAGGCAAATGAGCGAACGGAGAGCCTGCGCAGTGGCTGGGAAGTGGTCGCCGAAGCCGTCAAAGTCAAGAATCGCCGGCACCTCCGTTCTGCACCATCCATGGATGCGCTTCGCAGCGAGACTAACACGCCGACGCCAGATGATCCTCACGATGGCGGTGACGAAGAATCCAAGAAGAAGGCTGATCGTGAATGGTGGGCAAGGCTCCGACGCATCCGACAATCATTGACGACCAAGTCGCCGCGCAAGACAGCCCCTAAGTAAAGTCTTTCTTATGAATTTTACTCTCGGCTTTCTGTGGGGGTTTCAAATGACACATGCGCGGCGTTGGAGGATGACGAGCATATTGCTTTGAGCATGCCAAACATTTACTCTCTTTGCCATAATATAACGACACCCGACAGCTATCGCTGTCTTTTTCCTGGATGAGACCTTTCTTTCTTTTTCTCTTTGTAGTTCAATCATTCAGCTTGCTGCCGCACAGCACACTACCTTTGCAAACCAGCTCTTAAGTCGATACCTAGAGCAAGTTGTCATCGTTCCTATACATTTCAGACCTTACATTCCCGGCTTTCGTAACATTATTCGGCATGGCACCACTAGCTCTGGGCCTCGCTGATGAGCTTCTTTGATAATATTGACATGAGCCAGGGCTCCCCCAATTTTACTTCACGGCAAACCTACCCTAGGTATACAGTTCTATCTATCTGCCGCCCATTTCCCATGGCTTTCCACACGCCCTCGGCTGAGAACCTACCCTCCTCAACTATCGGCTAGAACCACATCCTTCTTATTTATCTGCCATTTCCAGTGAAGATTTCTCGTGGGTATGATCAGCTTTAACCTCCTAGGTATGCTACATCTACTTCTCCCATTTCCTCGCTGCTCTCACTTTCCTACCATATCTGTTCGGGGCAACCTACCCTCTTCCTCACCTTCTCACCTGCTTTCTTCTTTACCTTCTTCTCCGATTTTCATAGCATCCTACTGCATCTATTTGGCCCGGTCTTGTGTCTACTCTACATCCATCTTGACATAACTTGCCTTCTTCTATTCAAAACTTTTCTTCTCATTGAGCCACGCATCTCACCTATCTACCATTTCGAGAGGAAAAATATTTCTTACCAACACTACATCAGGTAACGTCAACCTGGACATCCTAACTTCTTGCATTACCTCTCACTTTTCTTTTTTTTTTTTCTCTTTCTCTCTCTATCTCTCTTATCACAACTCTCATTCAATCTCTTTTTTTCTTACATATTCATCTTATCCCCCATCATCTCTGTCAACTCCGGATACTCCTCAATCTAGGTATAGTCCTGTGCATGCCATGTTATCCCACTGCATTCGTTCCATCTTCAGTTGTTGGTCAATTGACGATTTCAGCTCTTCTCCCTCTTTACCTTTTCAGCAACTAACAATTCTATGACCTGAATTTAGTATCTCACATATGAATCAGCAAATCTATCACTCACACCTACAACCTACATCTGAAATGGACCAATTAGTCCTTCCACGAATGTCTGCTCCTAGCGATCTTAACCCAGCCGGCACAATGGATGCAACCAACACAATGGGTACAAATGCTTCACTCCAAGCTACACCTGAACTGCCAGGCCAGGTTGAACTCACCGGAAATGCACTTCCTCCAATCGACACCACCGTCAATCCCCCAGCAACTACAACGGATTTGCCCTTCGATACAACTGAATTGCCAGACGGGGTTGAACTTACCGAAAAAAAACCTACTTCATTCAACAACACTGCCAATTCTCCGGCCACTACAATGCATTTGCCTGTCGATGGAACCGCAACAGCTTTATCTAGGGAAATTTCCCACCAAGCTACACCTGAACTGCTAGACCGGGTTGAACCCACCGAAAATACACCTGCTCCAGTTAACACCATTCCCAATCCCCCAGCAACTACAATTGATTTGCCCATTGATACACCTAAAATGCCAGACCGGGTTGAACTCGCCGAAAAAACACCTGCTCCAGTCAACGCCACTGCCAATCCATCAACTCCCAACAAGGCTAAAAGAACCACAAAAGGAGGCTTCTCTAACGACAAAGCAACCCTTCCGGACACTGAAGCAGAACTCGACGATGACCAAATTTCATCCCTCTTCTACCATCCACCTGATGTGCGCAGGCGATATCCAGTCTACTTCAGCAAAACCACCGGTCGAATCCATGCAGCGATGAAACGGCTGCTTTTCCAGAAAGGGAAGGATAACAAATTACTTCACCCAGAATACGTACTACGATCAAATCAAGCGAGTTGGGAAAAGAAGCTGATTAGCTACGAAAAGCACGGACAATCTAAGTCGAATGAAGAACCTGTTCGGCTTCCGGATGAAGATGCCACTCGCAAGCGCAAGAGAACTGCAGTTGAACCTGTGGAACCATCAATCTCTCGCCCTACTAAAGTTACTCTGACAACTGGCAACCATGGCTCCCCTTTGTTCGTGCCTCGCAATGCAGAAGTGAACACTCCCCAGCTGCTCCCCCCAGCCAATACCATCACCAATTCGGCTATCACAGCTGGCGTTGGATGCCCTGTGCAGCCACCACCACCAAACCCCTACGGTCAAAGCACTCCCATTAATCGGCTAGTAGCCCCCTATGGCTCCGATTTCATGCATTTCCTGACTAAGCTTGAGGTTGATGACCTGGAACAACTGACTGCAGACGATATCATGCTTCTCACCGAGTGGATCCTTAAGGAATGCAGCAAGATTCAGCAGCATGTTGCACGTGCTATTTCTATCAACGCGGGTACCGAGTACAGGTATATATTGCTTGATCTTTTTGACAATCTTACACGAGTTTCTCGATCGTGCGTCAACCTGGAAGCGGAACGACGAAATGATCTCAGTATGGAGGACCATGGCGAAGAAGACTGATTCTGATTGATCTCACGTTCTCTCCTTTATTGATTCCTTTTTCGATAATTTTCTGATATACCCGGTTCTGGCTAGTATCGTTTGATATTTTTGTTATTTCGTAACTACTATTATTATAGATCGCTTGACTTCTAGCATGCCAGAATGAAACTTGCTTTTGATAACACTCGTTCTCCTTTCTACTAGTGCTACTTGTGCGTAATCCAACACTTTTTGTACAACCCGGTTTTCAGTTAGGCATTCAGGTAGCTACTCGGGCATCTAATCCAGTTCTATGAGATACTCTGATGTAGTAGCTACTCCAACTTGAAGTACTCGTACCACTACCAACTGGCAAGCGAGCAGCTCTCGACATGATTCGCCCACCGCCAGCTGCTGACCCACCGGGAGCTCCCTTCTTCCTCCGCGCCGCAGATTACTTTCCTTTCACCACCCAAATTCAATACCTTGGAACCTATCCAGCATTTTAAACCTCATTTTCTTAAATTCGTTTTTCTAATCGGCTTTCAGCCGAGCCCTACCCCCGCTTTCTTTCAATTCCGACACCCTCCCACCCCAACCCAATTCCATCGAATACCTCACCACTCACCAAGCACAACTGACAAAAACTCTCGACACAATGACATCCCCAGACCCCAGGCCATCTGCGCCGACCTCCTACGATGATCCTGAAAGAAACGGTACCCCAGCCTCCCCAGGTCCCACATCGCGGCAAAATGGAAGGCCAGACGAAACCAGGCCGAACGAAGACACAGATCAATCGAATCCAAGGCGCAAACGAGTCCAAGAAAGACACCAAGCGCGCAAGCGTGGACCAACCCAACCATCCATGTTCTCACGACGCGGTCGCTCCCGCAGCCCAAGCAACAGAACACCAGACGACAACTCATCCCGACGCTCTCGATCCCCTCTCCGCCCTCGCTCGCCGACCCCAGAAGCGCCAAAGCGCAAGCGGCCCGGCGGTGGATCGCGCATGGGCATGGTGAACCCGGAGGAGATGCGTCGGAGACAAGAGCAGCGTGATCGCCTCCTCGAAGAAGATGCGATGCGATCATCGCGAGACCGTGGCGTCTCGGACGTCGTGAGACAACACTACAACGCTGTCCCGGAGCGAGGCCGCGAGTGGCGGAAAACAGAGAGCAAGATCAAGGGCCTGCGCAGTTTCAATAACTGGGTGAAAAGTACGCTGATTCAGAAGTTCTCGCCTGATGAGGAATTCGCTGCGCGCTTCAATGATACCAAGGATTGGGCGGATGATAGTCAACGTCCGCCCCCCGTTGATGATAAGCGGCTGTTGGTCCTGGATCTGGGCTGTGGTAAGGGTGGTGATCTTGGGAAGTGGCAGCTTGCGCCGCAGCGGGTGGATCTCTACGTTGGTCTTGACCCGGCCAATATCTCTATTGAGCAGGCGCGAGATCGTTACGGCCAAATGCGTAGTGGTCGTGGGCAGCGTGGTCGCGGCCGTCCGCCTCCTCCGCTATTCCATGGCGAGTTCTACCCTAAGGACTGCTTTGGCGAGTGGTTGGGTGATGTTGGCATTGTGCAGCAGGTGGGGATTGATCCCAATGCCGGTCCTGGTGGTTCGCTGATGGCTTCGCGGTGGAGTGGTGGTGGCGGCTTTGATGTTGTGACTTCGATGTTTGCGATTCACTATGCATTTGAGAGCGAAGAGAAGACTCGACAGATGCTCAGCAATGTTGCCGGGTGCTTGAAAAAGGGTGGTCGTTTCATCGGCGTGTGTCCGAACTCCGATGTCATCACCAGCCGTGTGAGCACTTTCCATAAAAACCGCAAGGAAAAAGAATCTGCCAAGCCTGCGGCGGCCGAGGAAGCTCCAGAGGATGGTGAAGTCCAGGAAGATGAGCGTTGTGAATGGGGCAACGACATCTATCGAGTACGGTTCCCCGGGGCGACTCCAGAGGACGGTATCTTCCGCCCGCCGTTTGGATGGCGGTATACCTACTTCATGCGAGAGGCTGTCGAAGAGGTCCCTGAATATGTTGTTCCTTGGGAAGCCTTCCGAGCGTGAGTATTTCTATCCCAATGATGTGCCGTCCATTGCCAATGACTGATGTTGATTAGGTTGACTGAGGACTACAATCTGGAACTCCAATATCGCAAGCCTTTCTTGGATATCTGGGAAGACGAGAAGAATGATCGCGAGTTGGGCCCACTGAGTGAGCGCATGGGTGTACGTAACCGGGCCACGGGCGAACTGAACATGACCGATGAGGAGAAGGATGCAGTTAGTAAGTTTGTTTATCCTTTCAAGTTCTGGGGGTGCTTTGGAGATCATAGGCTAACCTTATAGGCTTCTACCACGCATTCTGTTTCTACAAGGTCTGAGCGCGTTGGAAAATACTCGAAATGGTATGCATAGAAAAGGGAGTAGCCCAGCAAATACTATCTTCAAATGATTACTATGAAAGATGGAAATGTATAGAAAATGACTCGGGCTGATTCGAGACTTCGTTGAATCATTGATCTGCCTAGGGACACGGAAGCTGACAGAGACCACTAGTATGCTTAAGTCCTAGAATCATTGACAATATACGATATTTCTCCTAGTAAGGTAAGGTAAACACCTTACCCTACCCTAGGTAGGGTAATCAAGATTGATAGCTGATAAGCTTATCGGGACATGCACTGTAACCCGAATAGGACTAGCGTACTCGCGACGCGTGGGATTGCATTCAAGTTAGGAATTGCATTGCTTTGTCCAAACCTTTGCCATCCTGAATACGACCACGACCTTGAAGTTGAAGACACATCACCTCAGAAAAGCATCATACAAACTCTCTCCTACAACTACACCCTATGCTGTCAACACCAGCGCGACAGCGCTCAACGGTATCCCAGTCCCGCCCGCCACCCAGCGCGCGCGGGTCGGGCACCCCACGAACAAGCACCATTCCAGACTTGCCCCCATACGAGGCCCCAGAGGCACCTCTCACAGCCGAGTGCCAACGACAACTCAATTCACTGCTACAATCTAAACAACTGCACGAAGTGAAGACTCATATTCAACATGCCGCCGCCAGACTCACCGATTCTGTGGGCGAGATCAACGAACGCCTTTGCGATGCCCGTAGCCGATACGAGACCAACAAAGAGCGAAAACGAAGTGCCAACGAGGAAATTGAAAGTGGCGACGAAAATGAGGAACTTCAGCTTCTAGCTGAGAAAGAAAGACAGGTTGACGATGTCACTGGGCGGATGGAGGTCCAAATGCGACAGATCATTGACTCCGAAAACCGCCTTTCCGAATTGACGGAATCCGTGCGATCCATCGAGAGAGAGGAGGCAGAGGCTCAGACTGCGGCACTCGGGGTGCGCCAGACACGAGGCCAGCGACGGATGCGACGACAACAACGGGATGGTGATGAGGAGGGCGAGGAGGATTTAGAAGATGAGGACTACGAGGGGACGCCTGAGCGCGAGATCCGGGAACGCAATGCGCAGAACCCGCCTAGTCAAAGACTGGAGGATAAACTGGTGAATGGAGCACAGGAATGGGATGGCCTGTCGCTAACCGAGCGGTACGTTTTCCCCATTGGGATTCAGTCTCGGTCTCGATCTCAAGAGACGGCCAAGCGTCGGTCCTGGCAATGATTCTTTACCAAAAAGACTAACTGGTTATCCCTCTTTTCTCCCATGCAGGTACGCCAGAAACAACAATTATATCGGATTCTACCGTATGGTACACGATTCCAAATTCCCCGGCGACGAGGTACCGCCAATGCCAGCTTCTTCGACCTGGTTCTCGCATCTGGAAGATCCCAATGGCGAGAATGGACCCTCAGATGGCAATTCGTCGCGTCAGAATATGCGCACACGAAACCGCCGTGAACCATCCCCTGCCGACTCGGACGACATTGCAATTCAGCGCGAGCGCATCTCCCTGAAATGCCCACTCACCCTGCTGCCATTCCAGGACCCGGTAACGAGCACAAAATGCCCGCACAGTTTCGAGCGTGAAGCTATTACGGATATGATAGCGCGCAGTGGACGGTACGCACCGGATGCCAGTCGACCGGGCCGTCGTCTCCGCGCGGTGAAGTGTCCTGTATGCTCGAATCTCCTCACTAACGAGGATCTTCGGACGGACCCGGTGTTGCTACGCAAGGTCCGACGAGCGGAAGAGTTGGAGAAGCGCGAGGCAGATGATGATGGGATGGGAGAGTCTGGACGAGAAGGGGGTGCTAATGAGGTGACATTGGGAAGTGATGCCGAGTCGTCGGACGAGGATGGTGATGGGATGGAGGTGGATGGGGATTCTGAGTCAGACCGGACTCGGATCAAATCTGAGCCCGCGGCGCGTATTAAGCGGGAGCGGGAGGGTACAATGATTCCACATGCAAGCCAGCAGGTTGAGGCGATTTCGAGCGATGATTCGGAGTGAGGGTAATGAAACAATAGTATTGAAGTATTCTGGGCATGAAACTGGATATCACAGTGAATATCACTGGATATCACCCCCGGATGGGATGGGTCTACCCGAGGTGGTGGGCCGAGATAACACGGGGAGATAAGCATGGCAGATGGCAGATGGCAGATATCCCCCCCAAGTGTCTGTACGGAGTAAGGTATCCTCTGTATAGGGTACCCCAGGCACTGGCACTGCTCTGTCTCTTTGATGTTCCACTAGGCTTTCCTGGGTCAAGCCTCTCTTCCAATGAATCCCTCCACCCCCACCCGCCTCCTTTCCATTCGTCCCATGAACGCCCCTTTTGCTTCACTAAAAACCAGGGTGCAACCTGGTCGTCCCGATCCAATACCACGGCACCCTCGCTAGCATCACGCGACGGTACTTGAGTAGCAGTAGAGTAGGGTGCTGCCACTGCCACTTCCATATGCCAGATGCCATCTGGTGGTCTAGTCCACCGAAATGGATGTACCAGTTTCTAAGGTTCCCTCTCTCTAAACGAGGTCTAGAGTGCAACACTGCTATCAAAGCGGGCCTCCCTATAGGGTCCTCCCCCCCCATCCAATCAGGCGAC